CTTTTACAACACGATCCCTTGCCACCTGAAAAACAGCAACTGACTGTTTTGAACAAAGCCTAAAATGTAGATACAGAGTTTTGTTTATTAACTACAACTATTAGGTATATAATCTGAATGAAGAGCCCTGAAGTAACAAAGACATCACTGAAGAACTGAGATCCCTTTGGCTGGTGGTCACTAACCTTGGCACAGATACTGGCTGCACTGACGATGGGGAAGAGGGAGTCAGCCTTCGGCCTCACAGTCACATCGATACCTGGAAACCGCTTTGAGAGTTTGTCCTCATATTTATCAGCTGGGCCGACTGTGTCCACAAACACCTTTAGAAAACCATGGAGGTGGCGGGTCGAGCAAGTAAGAGCAAAAAAGTTGAGTGAACATTTACATACGTTATCTAATGTTTCGATTGGTAATCAGTTGCATGATTTCATGATTTTCTGTCACAGTGCTCTTCAGTTCATGAAGAGCCAACAATTCACAGAGACAGGCAAATATTTACTACTTGGTTTTATACCTCTTTAAGCTGTACTCCACTGTCCAAGGCATACTGTACTAGATCAATTGCTGTATCATGTGAGATGGCGTTCAAGTTGTATTTTGTCCTAACAGAAGCAGATCATTTTGTGAGTGTGATGATAAAACAGGTTATTAAAAGAAAAACAAGTCTCTGTGATCATGATACTGTGTCTGCCACATACCTCTGTAACATGCTGGTTGAGATGGTGTTCGGGGAGAGGATCTGCAGAGCCCAGCCTATGTAACTTTTGGACTCATCAATTTTTTGGAAAAGATTATCTCTTTCTACCTCGTTAAGAGTCTTTGAATCTGTTTCAGGAGAGGGGAAAACATTGAAATTAATTATATGTTGCTTTATGCAAAAACAAATCATTTAATTCTTGAATAGAGACAAATCTGAATTGACTAGTTGAAAATGTCCTTTTTCTAAAAAAGCATTGAGTATGAGTTTAAAGAACAATGCTGAGAAAGCCAGTGCAGCATCCTTTTTAACAGCAAACAGCAGAGATGTGGGCCACAAAATGTACCTGCCACTTTCGAGTCCTTCAGCTCCTGCTTTTTGGAAACTGGACAGAAACATATTCCATACACCATGGGCCCTGGGAGACAAAAATTACCACTGTAAGTTTGGAAACCACATAGCACAATGCAGTTAGTGCCAAAACTAAATTGTATTCAAAGCGAATATCTCTTAGTTAGTTAGTTAGTTAGTTAGTTGGTTGTTAGGCGGACATAGAGCAAGTACTGCAGGTTAATAGTATTTACGGCAAGTTTAGATTGTAAAACAAGTATCAAACAGCATACCCAGCACAGGCCCCCTGCCCGCCTCATCGATGCCCAGACAGCAGTCCTCAGTCCGGCAGACATCCGGGATCTCAGAGGCCAGGCGGCAGCTCACAGAGTTGTCCGATTCAAAGGGGCTGAGGTCCATGACAGCAGGCTGAGAAAGTCACGAATCAAATATTTGTTTCGTCATGCTAAAGTCTGGTAATGTTGAACTCTTTCTCCTGACAACATGCCATGCTAGCTAACGTTAACGCACACACATGACAGGCAGACAGAGGTGATGCTAACTCATCAAACTAACATGTGTTATCACAACATGCGGCTGTTTTCTGTATACACGGGAGTTTACGCTGTTGCGATGAAGCTATACTGTAGTTTATATCCTGATAAATCTGCAACAAAGCTCATTCTTACCCTTTTAGACGTTATCGATGCTGTTCACAACTACGTGTTGTTTATGTCTGATGCAGATTTGGCGCGCCTTGAAATACGTCACATTCTTCTTCTTCTTCTATAAAATGGTAGGTTCACTACCGCCACCAGCTTATCAGGAGGACCAACACTAGTCTCAGTCATGTTAAGAAAAGTAGACTACATACCGGTACGTTTTATTAGTATCATTCAATTAAAACTGTAATTCTGACTCTCAAGAGGGTTCAAAGCAAGGAACTATTGCAAATGAGAGGTTTGCCTTCAGGGCTTTCTGCTAGAAAGGACCAATTTCAAACCAAACCAACATAACCAGGTATATTTTTGCTTTAAAAACATATTTTGCGAAAGTGAAGGAAAACTCCTCCCACGTGCACATCTCTTCTACTTTAAGCCTCGAAAATACGTATACTCATCCGACAACACATTCAATTGTACATCAGATGTCCCACGTGTAGAAATCCCAGAAATCACCAACAGTTAAGTGGCACTATATGGCAGCTGGAAACCTAAAACAATAAACTCATTGCATCATTGTAAGCCACTAAGCCTTCACATATGGGCCTACTCCTTTTCCAAGCTTCATCGAAAGTAAGCTTTGTTAACATGTAAGCACGCAGGCTTCACCTTAAGGCTTTTAACATTTACAAATGAATGTACAAGTGATATTTATCTTCCAACCCCATTATCTTATTTCTTTCCATGCTCACAACAATCACCTGATAATAATGATGTAATTTATTAATCCCCAGTGGAAAATGCATTGGTTTCATTTTGTTGGTGTTTTTCCTGATGTACACTTGTGCAATCATTTGCATCAATGTAGAGAGATGTCAGAATGACATGTCAGCCCAGCATTGCACCTTGATTAGGCTAGTTGAAGTTATACAAGTTGTGCAATCATGTTATAAATTATAGACTAAGTCTAGTTTGTGTTTTTATTATCAAAGATGGACAGCTTCTCCCTGGTTGAGACTGCTCTGTAAATGAACTTTTCTTTGCTCAAATTATTTAATCTCTCACCCCTTATTTTTGACCTTTTTCTGCAAAAGCCACCATGTCTATCAACATCTTTGTTTACCATCCCCCTCACACACAATATTCTTACAATACACTTTACAATTAACATCTGGGTGCCCGCTTAATAGGTTTGAACAGCAGCTGAGTGTGGAAGCAGGGAGGCAGCTTCAGGTGGAGAGGAGAGGGCAGCGTGAAAGGAAAGCCATGTACAAAAGTCCAAGTGTACGTTGGTTACTGAGCTGAAATTGGCCTTGGCTCTGGCTTTTTACACCCACCCTTTCTCTCTCTTTCTGTCCCTCTGCAGCACTGAATGGCTCTCTTTGTATTTCTCAGTAACACGCAGTCCCCAGCCGATTAAATGCGGGGAATTAGTAGTCAATTTTAGCCCACACACACAAACACACTAAACAGCTTAGGTTGGTGGGGCACTGATTGTGTTGTTATTACAGTTCACACGTCAGCAGCGTGTTTTTAATTTAGTTTTTTCACCCTTCACTTGCTTAATGCTCCATGTTTTATCTCTGAAACATCCCTACTGCATACAATAACACTCTTACAAAGGATATTTTTTTATAAATAAATTGATTTAATAGATGACAACAATAACATTTCAACATTGCTTTTCTTGTATGGAAGCAAAATACTCAAGCGAATGTATAGCAAACACTTTACAAAACTATCCAGAATTATACAAAATGGAAGAAGCAAAGATGTGACACAAAATGCATTATTTCTTACAACAAAATAATAACTACATGGTAAGAGGGTCAGTATAAAATCATAAAGTATGCATCAGGTAATAAAGTTGAAGCATGTGGTAATAACCAATATTCACATTGCTGAAGAGGAAGAGGCCTATTTGGACACAATATAGAAAAAAACTTGAGGACGAAAACATGCTTTAGCAGTGCAGAGGGGTCGTACATGTGATTCTAATCCTTAACCCAAAGCTGGCCAATTATCTGAAGAGATTTGGTTGAGACTTTGCACTTATATATTTTAACTCAGTTATTAGAAAAATCAGATGTGTATTAGCAAAATGTTAGTCACTAAAAAGAAGCAGATGTTTACTGCTCTGAAAATCTGAATACCTTAAGCATTATTTGATCAGGTATCGTCTTATTTCTTCTTTGCTATTGGCACAAAATGAAAAGAGTTGAGGTAAGTGTCCAAGACTGAGTGTTAAGCTGAAATACATCTTTAGGAGCTCTCTTTCCCTCTCTTGTTCCTTTTGCCCCCTTAAATGCTTAAGTCTTCAGTTCAGTGAAGTCAATGTAATGAAAGGACAGATTGTGCTATCTACGAGAAAAACAGCTATCCTTTTCTGGCCGTGAAAAAATACAACCCTTGGGAACAACTTACTGAAAACAAAACGTGCTTTTCCCAAAGCAGTGGTGAAGATGTATTAGTGTAATATCAAATCAGTCACAATAAAGTTACACCCTAGGATATCAACATTGACAATAAACTTACTACTTATATAAAATAATAACACAATAACATCAAAAACATCTGCTTTAGTTTGGTTAATAAAATCTGATTATGTCAGTCTAAACCCATCGTTGCTGGGTCAAATCAGAGTCACTCATCAATGCAACAACTGTTCATTCAGAGTCACACTGTGTACAAACTTTATACACATTTATGATGGCACATGTTTATTAAGGTTTATTTAATTTTTGATTGGCATTTGACCCATGATTCACACTTTATATTGCGTGAGTTTGTGGCTGTTTTTCTTTTAAACTGTATAAGGCCCCGTGGATGCGTCTTGCATTATAATGGCTAAAAAAGTAAAAACCTCCAATATAACATCAATATGGCACATGCACGCATCCACAATCACACACTCTCATATTTTGCACACAGTCACACAAATCCACTCACACACTTCCCATATTTCCCTCTGCTCAGCTGGTCTCCCTCAAGGTCTTGTGAGTGTGGTGTAAACAGGCTGCTCCCAGTGTGTTGGGCTGTGAGAGGGGGCCACGCTGGAGGGGTCTCCTATGGTAGTGTACAGAGGCCTCTGTGAAGGGCCCATGTAGGAGAAGGCTGAGTACAGCCCCGGGGCCTGGCTGGAGTGGGCATAGTACGCCCCGGGGGCCTGGTGCTCGGCGTACTCAAACTGAGCCCTGGAGGCCAGCGAGGGGAAAGCGGAGCCATAATGGGGGAGGCTGAGCGGGGTGTAGGTGACATGGGGGCCTGAGGAGGGCGAGGAGGAGGCGTCAGCATAGTGGCTCCCGACCACAGACTCACTCTTGATCTGGGCCTTGGAGGGGTCGGAGGAAGACGGAGAGGCCTGAGGCTGCTGCTGCTGCTGCTGCTGCTGCTTGGAGAGCCACGCGGAGTGCCCGCTAGCAGCAGCCAGGGCGTAGGCGTAAGACGAGGCTGAGGATCCGGCTGAAGGGGCCCCGGGTCCACTTTGCGGGTGGCCGTTTGGAGGAAGGTACTGGTCGAACTCGTTCACGTCAAACGGCTCAATGTTGGACATCACCTCGTGGCTGATATCGCCGATGTCCATGGTTCCAAAGTCGATGTGAGGTTTAGAGCTCGATGATGAAGGGCCGCCCGAGGCCCCATCATCCCCCACCCTGAGGGCTCCCCTGGACCCCCCTGATCCTCCGGCCGCTCCTGCAGCCCCCTCCCTCTTGGCATCTGACAGTTTCCCAGACTGGAGCTCTGTCTTCGGGGTGGTGGGGGGTGTGGGCGGGCTGTGACCCTGACCTAGAGGAAACAAGAGGAGGGACACAGGTGAACATTGACAAAGGCACAACTTAGTTTTTTCTTCTTTAAATCTGACTCTGATTTAAATAGGCCTAAATAAATGTATCCCACTTAATATTAATTATAAATGTTGTGAATTTTCTCAAATGTAAATGTTGGTTATTGTGACTCCTACCAGCAGGATGGTGGAGGTGATGGTGGTGGTGGTGCAGGTCACCCAGGGGAGACCCAGCCCCGCCATTGTGCTCCAGGTGCAGGGTCTTGTAGTGAGACTGGGAGTGGCTTGCCTCCCCTTCCCCCTGGCTGTCGGACTCATTAGCATTAGCTAGTTTGCCGTTTTTGCGTCGCCGGGGCTGGTACTTGTACTCCGGGTAGTCCTTCTTGTGCTGTTTCCTCAGCCTCTCCGCCTCCTCGATGAATGGCCTCTTGTCGCCCTCGTTCAGCAGCCTGGGGGGAGACAAACAAGGAGTGTTGTTAGTCTAACAGGCTAATACTCAATTAAAGGGATAATATTTTCTGAGAATATGTCAAGAAATTATAATTATTGTCGCATTCAACCCCGTGCGCAGAGGATAAGGAGGTTAAAACTCGAAGGTATACACGAATGCAGTGTACTCTATTAAAGTAACAAAATACCAATTTGATTTCTGTGTGTTTTCTTTGTGTACAACCATCATCCTAAACGTATTTGCCCAGTTTTTACATTTGAGTTTAAAATCTACACCCCTACTTATCCTTTATGCACAGGCGAGACAGGAAACGTGCCACTGTATGGCCACACTGTTCTGAAACAACCATCCCATACAAACCTCCAAAGTTTGCCCAGGGTCTTGCTGAGCTCCGCGTTGTGCAGGTGGGGGTATTGGTCGGCCAGTTTCCTCCTCGCCGCCTGCGCCCACACCATGAAGGCGTTCATGGGCCTCTTTACGTGGGGCTTCGCTTTGCTCCCGTTGTTAACGCGCACCGGCATGGGCACAAGTGTCCAGTCATATCCGTCCAGCACCTGGCTGACCGCCTCCCTTATGCCGATCGGGAAGCGATCCTCCACTATCTCCGATTTGACTGTATCGCCTGCGTCATCCTCGGAGCCATCTGCGACACTTAGCGAAGTCAGCTGCTGCGGCGGCCCGATCAGAGGTGAGTCCTGGCGGGGTGGCGCTCCGGGTTGAGTCGGTGACAGTGAGTGACCATCGTCGGACCCTCCGGGACTCAGTTCCGCCTCGGACAGGCTGTGCTCCTCGCCAGACATTTCTATTTAGTTATTTTTAATTCAATGTATGTCAAGAATGCAACTTTGTTTTAGAGAGTCCAACCTAT